TGTTATTGTGTTATTGTACATGTTGGAGATATGTGTGACTTATTTATAGGGCAATGGAGTCTGTCAGTGAAAGTGGTGATTAAATGGTGTATAGGTTAAGTTAAGTTAAAGAAAGGCATTCCCTTGCTTTGGAAGGTTTCCCCCTCAAGCAACCTTACCTGATCATGTTATCTTACCATATAATTAAATTCCCATAATCATGGAAGTAGATGGACACCTGGATTCTAACCTCCACAGATAGTAAGGTTCACTTTTTGAATATAAATAGTTGCTTTAGATGCTTCTAAGGTTTCTATTTTATTTTTCGTTTGCTCCATGTACAATGTACATTAACATATGTGCTCTATCTGAGCTCACTCACTACCACCAAATTAAAAACGTATCGTAAGTCAAAAGTGTGTGACATTTAGTGCATTTTCCTTCTCAGCTCTGGCCCCTATTCTGAAAGCTGGTCCACATGGGCAAAGCTCTTGCTTGCACGCAAGACAACTTGAAGGATCATGGGATATGTTAATTCCCCTCCCCCACCTACCATATGAAACATGCATTTTATCCATGTTTTACTAAAAATCTAATGGCTATAGATATGTAGTTATATTGAGGCAAAGGAAAACTGTTAATTTTCTGAAAAAGAAAATACCAAAATGGAGCTAATGTTTTAAAATATTGGTCTTATTTTAAAAATACCTCAAGGATGTGTCCTTTACTCTTAGAGTTACAAGAGGGAAGAGGAACAAGTAAGCACCTAGAGAATTTAATCATTAACAATGAACCATATTATAACTTTTTTTGTCTTCTTCCTAAATGGGAGTTGCAGTCATTTGAAGGAGCTTTGTGTAGTTTTCTTGGCCAGTTCTGGTAAGTGATGCAATACCCGCACACAGTATTTGAGTCTGTCAGAATAGACTAATTCTATAGTCAAGTCAAGGGAAATTAGATCCACTACAACAAAGCTTCTAAGTCAACGATGAACCTGTCAAACAGAGGCTAATCACTTTTGTTGTTTATATCCTGTGACAATTTGGTTGATTTGCTGCAAAAAGAATACTTTTAGATTTTTTTAAATATTGCAAATATTAACAATCTACCATTTTAGAGGCATCAGAAAATTAATAGAACATATTCTACCTAATTCTCTGCTTTACACCAGATTACTGTACACTTCTCACCCCACTGCTACAGTAGCTAAGGAGAAATCTTATAAACATATAGAGACAAAAGGATAAACATTTTAGATAGCTTTATTAAAGACTGGAGTTTTTTCAGATCAGTATAGTTATTTCAAGGAAACAACTGAATTACTGGATCTGACAAAAGAGTTGTGGCACACAGTGGCATATTTACTTGTGTATATATACACATACACACATTCATGTGGACGCCTTCAAGGGTTTAGTGATACACTCAGAGCAATTTTAGGGGAAAATGTTTATCCAATGATGGCTATGTCATACCTTTAACATGAAGGAACTTTGTCCCAAAATAGCATACACAGGCACCTAATACATTCTGATGTCATCCATTTAAAAGGAATATCAGATTATCTTAGGACTTTACTCTTTTTGCTGGTTTAATTACTCAGACAGGATGGCGGGCCAGACTACATGGTGCTTCTAGTTTCAGCGTACTCTATGCATTTCTGATAAATGGGAAAAGAATAGATGACCTGGCAGAAGGCTCAGACAATAACATGTGATTTACAGGACATGAATGCAGCTACTATAAGATTTATCTGACAGCCCTCTCCGATAGTGGACTGTTGAGTATCCGATGGAATGATTTCTAGTCTGGAAAGTCTACTACTGAGTAGCCATACACATTATTTATTTATTAGATGTTTTGGGTTGAAACCATTTTTAAATGATGCACTTCACAATGCTTAGCCATAAATTTAGCTTTAAACCCTAGAAGGGAGGTAGTGTTATTGGAATGTATGTCAGACTGAATTAGGATGAGCAACGCAACGCTTTTATAAAGTGGCCTTGAATGCAACGTCGATTCTTTCAAAAATGATATTAATGTCAAATAAGCAGAAACACTTTGCAGTAATATTAAATGAAGGATTCCTTTTTGTCTTGATAGATTTATATAAATGTAAGTACACTCACACAAAGTCTCAAATTTAGTGTGTCAGTCAAAAAACTACTTTTTGATGATTGTATGGAGAATAAGCCTTACTCTAGTACATCAATCTGGGTTTTAAATAAGAAGTTTGCACTATGTTGAATTATTTATTTTTTTCATAAACCAAGGGAGATGAGTAAATTTAAATAAGGATCACAACAACATTTTTACACGTAGAAGCAAGGGGGATGTCTAAATAGTTGACTTGAAAAACTTGAACAAAAAATAGAAATAACTACATAAAAAGATTTCTTTTCAGACAGTTGTAGTTACTCTTAAAAATTACTTTACCTAGGAAATGGTTGATTTTTTCCATTTTCCTGGATAAGCAATAATAAAATCTCAAACCTTTTTTGCTGCAACGACATATGATTTTATTACTGTATTGTTTGCTTCTTGGAAAAGAAGAAATGTCCCAGTCTTATACATTGAAGTTTTGTTTATTTGTTTAAGGTATTGGTATATAATTGGTATTGGCATAATACTTTAATAGGGCAAATATTGGGAAAGAAATTAGGTACAAAATACTGAAGATATTAATCAGAACAGCCCTCCACTTTCATAAAATGTCTGACAAATTTTTGAAGTTTTAAATCAAAATTGTACATGCTTAATTTGTAACTACTGAATTATTTATGTGATTAAAAACTAGTTTTTGACCTGATCTTTCGATCTTTGGCACTCCATCCTCTCCATCTCCTCTTAAAAAATTAATTATAATTTTAGCAAGAGGATACCACTTCACTTCCCACCCTGTCTTGGGCCAAAATATATATAAATATATATCAATCAAACTCAACCCCCTCTCCTCCCGGTATCTGTAAAATGTCTAGTTGAAATTCAATTTCATATCTCTCATGCTTTCATGCAGCAAAAGACAGTTCACTTTTTAACAAAATAAATCACTTTTGTGATTGCCACACTGACCTCTTTGAATTAGGAAAATTCAAAGTGAAAAATGTAATTATCACCCCTAGAACAATCTGTACACATCTGGAGCTAATTTTGGCTTCATTTCTCGCATCATTTCTCATATTCTGCCAAATATTACAACTGCTATGTAACTTTTGAGAGTTAAGTGTGACTTTATTGGTTTATTTCAACTCTTACTCAAAACAAGCTCATCCTTCGCTACTAACGCTACTAAGCGATCACCATATCCTCCATTTGATTATATTAGCATTGAATAGCACTGTGACATGTATGACAAATAGGTGCATTAGAGTGGGTCATTTATTCCTTATACTTTCAGCTTCCAACAACCAAGTATGTGACATACTGTACAGAGGACAGTATTGTTCTTTGCAATTTTCAAAAAATAAAATATAAAGAGATTATTTAAAAAATAAAAGATTACCTTATCAAAAAAGGTAAACAGCAATTACAAACATAACAGGCTAATCAGACCATCTTAAAAAGAAATGTTTTTAGTATCTCAAATCACTAGTTTTCTAAAAGAAAAATAGAAGAGTATAACAAGTTTAAATAGAAGAGTAACAAGTTTTATGTAGGTTTCCAAGTAACATCTATTTTGTTTTTTAAATAATCAATGGTAAATTTGTATTCTAAGAATGTAGAGTGGTTAGGTACACTTTCAGAAAATAACAGCAACGTTTATGATAAGCAATTATTTCCAAGTTCCATGAAAGATATTAAGTAAAACTTCCAAAAAACAAATATATTCCCTTGATATTTTCTGCAGAAGATGGGGAAACTATGTAAATAAAATTCTGATTACATCCGTGAATAATAAGCTCACTAGAAACATAACTACTCTTCACTAGTTCATTGTAAAATCCATTAGGTGTAATCTCCAGAAGTAATTGTTCTTATTGCAGTTTATTGACAATGGAGACTATTGATTTTTCACACCTTCTATGATTCTTTCATTTGTATTCATGAAATGTCCATCAGCACAGTCTAAATAAATTTGGCAATATAGGCACTAAAACGAATAAATCGATGTGAAGAAACATTAATTTTGCATTATCCTTATTCGTCAGGCAAGTAAACCATAAGGGTTGTAAATGAAGGTCAAAGGTTTTTAAATGGGTCAGAACCCTTGACCTCTAGACCAATACCCTTCCCATTAAAAAAGGCTATTTTAAAGTTTTAAGTAGGGGAATTTACTACCAGGTATCATTTTTAAAGCACCAAAAAGAAAAAGTTCAATAAAAACATTCTTCTATTTAATTACAACAGAGAAAGCAAGAGGATACCAAAAGTACATCCATTTGATGAAGTGCATATTATTCTTTAACTACAATTGTAAGAAGGTTATCCAGTATCTTATCAAGACTAACCAAAAAGATTCTAAGATTTTTAGAGCATCTAAGGTGATTTTGTCAAGAATGTGGAAAATCTTGAAGTGTTGACCATCACAGCCACTTTCACATCTTTTTTTCCCTCAGATTCAAAGTACATGCCAAAAACAATTAACAATAACAAGGATTTCAAAAGTATTTATCACTCATTTCATAACCTCTACACAAAAGAAAAACGCTCACTCATCCCAGAGGATTTCAAGTGCCACTATACAAGGTGCAGAAATCAATATGTTTCCCTAACCTTAATATTTTATTTTCTCTTATGAAAACAGAGCAAGGAATTAGACTTCAAGACTGAGGTTACGTAAATGCTAGACATTTTTAATGGGACACAAAAACCTCAGTGTCTTCGCTCACCTGAGATTTCCAATTAGTATAACATCATAATCCATTTGCAATCAAAGTGTCTAAAATTTAGTCCTTCTACACTACAGTTAAAAATATATTCTAATTGTAAGCATGTTTACCATAACTTCAGCTATTTATCAAAGGCAGCAATTTCAGCCACACAACTTTTCTACAGTATTAATACTATCAATTAAAACTCACCTGAGAGCAAAGTAACATGACCAACTCCACCACTGAACTACTAGATTTCATGCAGACCAGACCTACAAAAGGAAAAAAAGAGATTTAATTATACTTAGGTTTGTATTTATATAGTATTAGGTATTAAACTTATTAAAATCTAGTACATTTGTTTTAATATATAAAAGTAACTATGTCTTAAACAGCATCTTTGTAATCAATTAAAGCTGAATTTTTACACTTGTATTTAAATGTATATTAGCTCCAAGCTATATTAGCTTATAATTTGTATGCTTAAATTGGAGATCATTTTTGAAAAATTAACTTGTGCTATAAAATGCTACCTCAGATTTATTTAACTGCAATTGCATAAATATTTGTGTTTCAAAATACTAGAATAAGTGTGCATAGCACATGCTATATTGATCCATAGTATCTACGCTTTGCTATTTTGGGGAGGATTGGTCATTATCTATGCAGAGAAGGGAAATGGCTCTATGACCTTTGCTTTCTACATTGCGCGCTCTCCCTTCAACCCCCTAGCTATCAATCAAGTTTCCATTTTGTTTCATGGCAGCAGACATCCCAAACACTCTTATTAGTACTTTGACCCGTGACCCCACACTAAACCTTAGCAGAAGTGCAAACAGTTACCTATTTTTTATTTTATTTTATATATATATATATATAAAAATCAAACTAATTTGATTATTATTATTATTAACAATTCACATTTCATTTTGGCTTGTCTATAGAATATCAAAACTGCTTTTAAGGCCTAAAAGTTGTGTTTTTCTATATTTATTTTTGTGTAAGCAATGCACATGCTATGATTGTTTTTGTTGTAATCCCCTGGTGATTAAATATCTGAAATACATAAGAAGAAAAACCCACAGACTTGAAATCCTTCAGACTACTTTGAAAGGAGAACATCTTTTATCCACTTGTGTACACAAAAAGCCCATTGCCAATCTGAATAAAAGTTTTAAAAATAATTTTTGCTTGCTTGTTATTCTTCTGACTGTGATGATACAAATTTTGTTTGAGAGTCAAGTGCTAAGTGAGACACACATATATATCCAAAAGCAGAATCTGGTTCTGCACAGTTTCAGAGAAGATACATTCATTGTGACTGTTCAAGCAATTTTCCATAGTTATGCATTTAAGAGCAGAAATAGGTATGCGCAAAGTTAAGTTTATACAATACGTAACTGTAAATTCAACAGGGCTCTCAACATCTCTCTCAACTTTTGTTTTCATCTATTGTAGAGAATGTTCTCTTTTATTATGCTTTTAGGTATTATGGAGGCATTGGTTGCAACCCCATAGTTAAGGGTGCATTCTGAACTGGGCTTAAAATGGGGCATACATTTCTCCACTTGTAGATGGTTTTTCAGTATGAAATGTCAATGTTAGAAAATGTGAAGGACAAAGACTATTTAGTACAGATTGAACCTCTCTAGTTTGGCACCCTCGGGACCTGACCGGTGCCGAACCAGAGAATTTGCCGAATCACAGGACGTCAATATGTAGCGAGTGGGTCTCTATTTTTATCTCGCCAAGGAGAATAAATGAAACACTTGCAACGCCACCTAGCCATAACAAGTGTTAGGCTAGGTCTACACTACCCGCCTGAATCAGCGGGTAGAAATCGACCTCTCGGGGATGGATTTATCGCGTCCCATCGGGACGCGACAATCGATCCCCGAATCGACGCTCTTACTCCACCAGCGGAGGTGGGAGTAAGGGCCATCGACAGGAAGCCACAGAGGTTGATTTTGCCGCCGTCCTCACAGCAGGGTAAGTCGGCTGCGATACGTCGAAATCAGCTACGCTATTCACGTAGCTGAATTTGCGTATCTTAAATTGACTCCCCCCTGTAGTGTAGATGTAGCCTCAGTGTTGTTACACAATTTTACTGTATTGACACAAGAAAATAAGTAGATAAAGCATAAAAAACATAAAATAAAATCATGCCAGACCACAGATGTTGTCGGCCCAGAGAGTGCTGGACTAGAGAGGTTCAACCTGTAGCTCTGTATTGTGTAATAAGGCTCAATGGGAAATGTGTGAAATTAATTTGTGGTAGTCAGATCTGTCTGTCTATCTAAGTACACATATACAACAAAAACTGGTAGGGGCAAATTATCTAGATCTGATACAATAGGTAGTTCTTATGAAGATATTTGAGATTAAGGATCATGTGTTTGCGGTTATACTTCAGAACTGAAAGTTTATCACCAGACCCAAGCACAAAATCTTTGAAGAAGCTCAAGAAATGCCTTTTTTTTTTTAAATGACTACAGGTATCCAGTGTTCCCAATACAACTGAGGCCTCAGGCTGCTCTCTGAGACCCATTCCTTCTTATCTAACTTCCAACAGCCATAGACCCTCTCTCTCCAGGAATAAGAAAACCACAGCTAATTCACTCCCTATCTTGTCAGGTTTCAGAGTAGCAGCCGTGTTAGTCTGTATCCGCAAAAGGAACAGAACAGGAGTACTTGTGGCACCGTAGAGACTAACAAATGAGCAATTACCAGCAGGAGAGGGAAAAAAAAAAACTTTCTGTAGTGGTAATCAAAATGGCCCATTTCCAGCAGTTGACAAGAATGAGTGAGGAACCGTGGGGGGAGGGGGAATAAACATGGAGAAATAGTTTTATTTTGTGTAATGACCCATCCATTCCCAGTCTTTATTCAAGCCTAATCTAATGGTGTCCAAGTTGCAAATTAATTCCAATTCAGCAGTCTCTCGGAGTCTGTTTTTGTAGTTTTTTTGTTGTAATATTGCGACTTTTAGGTTTGTAATCGAGTGATTAGGGAAATCGAAGTATTCTCCAACTGGTTTTTTGAATGTTATCATTCTTGATGCCTGATTTGTGGGGGGAGGGATAGCTTAATGGTTTGAGCATTGGCCTGCTAAACCCAGGGTTGAGAGTTCAATCCTTGAGGGGGCCAATTGGGGATCTGGGGCAAAATCAGTACTTGGTCCTGCTAGTGAAGGCAGGGGGTTGGACTCGATGACCTTTCAAGGTCCCTTCCAGTTCTAGGAGATGGGATATCTCCATTAATTAAAAATTAGTCCATTTATTCTTTTACATAGAGACTGTCCGGTTTGGCCAATGTACATGGCAGAGGGGCAATGCTGGCACATGATGGCATATATCACATTGGTAGATGTGCAGGTGAACGAGCCTCTGATAGTGTGGCTGATGTGATTAGGTCCTATGATACTATCCCCTGAATTGGCAACGGGCTTTGTTGCAAGGATAGGTTCCTGGGTTAGTGTTTTGGTGTGTGGTTGCTGGTGAGTATTTGCTTTAAGTTTGGGGGCTGTCTGTAAGCAAGGACTGGCCTGTCTCCCAAGATCTGTGAGAGTGATGGATCGTCCTTCAGGATAGGCTGTAGATCCTTGATGAGAGGGGCACTGTGAAAAGCAGGTGAGCATGCAGTGCAGGAGAACATGGTGGGTTGGAGGGGAAGTCTTTTTGTGATTTCCAGGGGAATATGGAGGGCAGGAAGAGTAAGTGGGAACGTGAGAGCACCTGTGCAAAGAGGATAAGGCAATGCTTCCCTCACACTGAACCAACTGGGGATGAGCTGGGAGAAGCAGACCAACATAAATGCTACATCACCCCTCATGGCAGGATAGACAATGGAAGGAGAAGCCTGCCAAACCCTCTGAGGACTAGGTGGGGCCAACTGAGCAAGAAGCTAGCTAAGACCTACAGCGGGCTGAGTTGCAACCCAGCTCCAGTAGAAGAGCTGGCTCCTGTCAAAAGGAGAAGACACAGATTCAGAGATAACCCCAGGGGGAATGGGAATCGAGTTCAAAGAATAGACTTCAGGGGAACCCTGAAAGCCAGAGATAACTTGAGTATTTGGGACTTTTTTGTTATGGCCCCTTTTGTATGAGTTTTTATAATAAATCAGCGTCAAAGAGGGTTTTATTGAGTTAAGCATCAAGAGTGCCTGAAGTGGAGATACTGGCTTCCTGAGAAGGAAATCTGAGGCAGAGAGTACACACGCCACCACACTAACTCAGCAGGGGGAGCATTTCAGAGCAGACACGCCATATAGCAGTCTGCATATTGCTTCAATATTTCCACCAAGCTGAAATACAAATAAAATTAGACCTAACATATAAATAGACAAAAACTGCATGTAGCTACAGTTTAAAATTAAGTTTTGAATTGTGAAGAGGTTTAGTTTGTAAAACTAGGTTATTTTAACAGTTTAAATTAGTCGAGTTTTCTTTAGAGCCTTCATGTTTGGCAAAAAAAATTAAAAATGGAAACTTACTTGTACCTTCTATCAGCAGCTCCTGCCCATGGCTACCCAAAAGAGTGCGAGAAAGAAAGGGAGCAAAATCCACAAAAATCTCTCTCAGAAGAGGGGCAGCCTTTTCCAAAGCATGTTCAAGCCTCTCTGTAATGCTAATTAGAAGATGTGTAAGATTAATGAGAGAACAAGGAAAGAAGTCAAATTTCGATAGGAAGAGGAATTATTTTTGACATGATATCATTTTCATTATACAAAATTTATTAACAGGAATCAGCTCCCAACCAATGCCTTTTCACAAAATTACATTTTAATATAGTCTGTTTAAGGACATGATACAGTACCCATTGAAATCAATGGAAAGATTCCCAAGTTCAACAGTTTCCAAGTTCACTGAATCAGGCCTTAAATTATTAACCATGTCTTAGTAAATAGTTTATAGGAACATATCAAGAAATTACATCATCAAAAAAGTAAGAAGCAGCAACGTTATCTAAACATTCAATTAAAGTAGTTACCTCATATTTGAAGCAGAATCCTCTGGCACAGAAGAAACTGTAGGCACAGGTGGCAATTTTGAATTAGATGATCCACTGCCTACGAAAGAGAGTTAGAGAGAACTCATCAGATGGGAAGCATGGGCAAGAAGGATAGACCATAGGAAAAGAAATCAAACACTCAAGTTTGAACCCTAGCATACCAATTACTTGCAAACATGCGTGACCTTGGGGCCAGGGCTGGCCCTAGGAATTTTACAGAGGCGGAGGTGGCAGCAGCAGGGGGTGTAGGGAGGAATGACACAGCAATGTGGGCACAAACACCCCTGAAGTTGACACCCATGACATCTGCCCTGCTCGCCTTCCCCTAACTGGCCCTACTTGGGCAAATCACTTCACCTCTTTGCATCTTTGTTTTCTTGTCTGTAAAAAAGGAATACCACCAATGTACATTCCTACTTCATAGGTGTGTTTCAACAATCATTCTTTAATAATTCTATAGTTCAAACATGAAATAATTTGGAGGATTCCTATGGCCAGGTTACACAGGAGATACAACTAGATGACCATTTCTCTTATAATCTATGAATGCTTGTGAAAGTTTGAAAAAAGTAAAATGGTAAGTATTATTTAGAGTGCCCACTTCATTAAGTCCTGGTATCTTACCTAATTTTCATATATACATAAATCTTCATGTAAAGTCAAATAGGAGAGTTTTAAGTATATCATATACTTTTTCTTTTCATTGCTAAAGAGCTCTCCCACCCTCTCTGAGCACCTTGAACTGAGAATCTCGCTAATTTTCCCCCTTAAAGTTCTCTGTCAGCTCAATGTATAATACTAAAGCCACCTTCCTTACAGTTAAAGAACATAGGAGATATAACAACAGATCTAATTTACCATATTTAGTCTAGCATCCTGCTTTTGGTAGCTTCTCAAAAAAATTGCCTGATGCTCATGCCCAGCATAGAAAATTTCAGCCCAAATTGGACAAATGCAGCTGAAAATGGGTCTTATAAAAGGAAGCATCAAGCAACCTTAATAATAGGCAGGGCTACCAGCCCTACCTATACTCAAAAACATAAAACACCGTCCTGTTAAAATACAAAACACAAAAAGTAAGTAATAGGTCCAGTTCACTAAAGGGAAGATAGGGAAGGTAATCAGAGGGCCAACTGTGATCATTCTGAAAGCAACACTGAAAAAAAACTAAGGGACAAAATCAGATTTCAGCACAAAGGCTATGTCTACATGGCAATTAAACACCTGCAGCTGGCCCATGTCAGCTGACTCAGGCTCATGGAGCTGTTTAACTGTGGTGTAAACCCTCAGAGAGTCCCAGAGACCAGGCTCCAGCACAGGCCTGTCCTTCTACACTGAATTAAACAGTCCTGTAGCCCAATCTCCATGAGCCCAAGTCAGCTGATATGAGCCAGCCATAGGTGTTTAACAGCAGTGCAGACATACCCAACAGTTCAATATCATCAGGCTCAACATAGCAAAGTTGATGCTGCCTTCAGATGCAAAATGGAAATCCTAAAGAGCAGGTTCTGTGAGCACAGATACTGACAGTACAAGTCTGAAGGAACTGTTCTTAAACGCGGCAGAACCAACACCAGTATGTGATTTAAAAAAAAAAAGTTCCAATTTAGGGCCTAATTTTCAAACATGGGCTTCTATTTTTTGTGAGCAAAATTTTATGGTTGAAATTCATTTAATCTTTAACTATAATGTGTAATTTATTATTTGCACTTTTGTGCATAATTTTGAAAATTTTTAAGGACAGAGTGAAAGTTGGGTGGGCAGCATAAATTGGGTGATGTGGAAGTGAGTGATGAAGGTTTATATGACAGCAAGAACATGCTGGATCCCTTAACTGCTCATTTCCAGCCACTATAAGCTGGGGGGCAGGGGTTGTTAAGAATTGTTTTTAAAAGTAATGTTTTTGGATGTTAGCTGGATTTTACTGAAACCTGTCTTTAACATAAACACTTCTTAAAATTATTTTGTGAATAAGTAGTAGCTCATAACCATATAATTATCTTTTTTAAAATCCAGTTTCTTTGAACACTATTACTTTTAACATATTCAAAAAGAAATTAAAAGACATTAAGTACAAAAAAGATCAGTCAGATGCTGTGGGTAAGAATTAAGAGACTAAACTGTTAGATACAACCTTCTGTATAGAGAAGCAACACACAGACAGTGATGAACTTCTTGTGACACTGAATTCCAGAGATAGACTCAAATGCTCTGTAAAGGACTATATATCTACTGGTTTTTCTTTTATTGAATGACCCCTGTTCTTGGAATATGTGGCAGGATTAAAAAAGACCGTCTGATCAGTTTCATTATATCCTTTAGAATAAAATACCTCTTAACTTTTTGCCTTTCCAGGAAAAGCAGTCCATCTTTGCATTTTCCCCTTGGAGCCCAGCAATAGCCATCCAAGTACTTATGGAGAAAACTCTCAACCAGTTCGTAAGTGCTCCCTTCCTACTCACACCTCCAAGATTGAATACGCCTTCTCTGTAGCATGCCCAAATCTTGCCACTCTATGATGCTAGGCTGAACACAAGAACTCAAAATGTAAGATTCACGCATATAGAAAGTATTCTCGACATACAAAATGCATTTGGTCTTTTGGCCTCGAGATGAAAACCTTGTCTGTGTTTCTGGGACCTTGAAGTGAAAAAATTCCCTTCAGACAAGCCCTCAGAATATATTTAAAATCTATGATAAAGAGGTCATTGTTAGAAGGTTGCCACAAATACAAGGTGCTATTATGACTCAGATGATAACATTAAAACCTTACTACCAAAGATGTGATGGTTTCAAGTATCACAGCAGCACCCAGTTAAGGGCTTATATAATTTAATACTAAGGTGGGATGCATGTTAAAAACATGAGAGATAGGAGACATTCCAATATTATTTTTAGCCAAAATGAAAAATCTCTGAGGAAAACATGGAAGAAACCAAAGAATTGTCTTTCAGGTTAGTGAAATGGTGTACTAAAATACCATGAGGCTACCCTTGGTTCTGGTTAACTTTCACTATTTTATACTGCCATGCACTAGCATTAGTATAAATGTTGATGGATGAAGAAAGGCCATTACTCATGACACAATTGCTGTTTTTCCCTGTAGTAACTAAAACTAATTGTGCACTATAGAGACAGGCTAAATGGACTAGCGAAACCTGTACTATATACTGCATACATTCTTAAATTACTAAAATCATTATTGAAGTTAAAATGCAGCCTAAAATGGGGAAACAGCACTAAGCAATTTATGCTTGAGAGATAGTGTAGGGTAGGCCACTGTAAAAACTGAAAATCTATTTTAACCATGTAATGGTATGTCTGGCCTAAGCTTCTCCATCTTTAAGAGACCACACTCCAAATTCAGACATGTTTCATAATAAGAACTAGCTTAGATTTGTCAGAGCAGATTTCCATTTGTGAGAGATGTAAATGAATGTGCACAGTGGTTTTTCCCACCAAATGATTGTGTCATGTAAGTTTTTTGGATAAATTTATTAATTTTATAAGCAAATTGGGCTTTCAGTTTTTTTAAAATGGCTTTTAGTGCAATTAGCCAAAAATGAAGCATTTTAGAAGTATGATTTCATCTACAGCACACATGTGGGTAAGTGCAGTAGCTACTTCAAACATGTGGAACCAAACTGCCTTATCTCTTCCTTATCCTTTCACTGATAAACTGGCTCCTTCAAACTGACAGTTTTACAGACATTTGCAAGAACATAAAAGAAAATGCAAATAGATCATCTGTCTAACACCCTTCTAGTGAAAGCTTATTGTTTATTCAGGGTCCCCAAGGGTCTAAACAAATAATGTCTCTAGCAATAGTGTTATTGAAGAAACTCCTTCACCAAAACTCCTTATATGCTTGTGTTGTATATACACAAAAAGCAATACATACACACTGCATGCTGTACAGTATTTAGTGAGATGCGGGACAGGGGTAGAAATAGGAAGAGGCCAATTGAATGAATAGATCTGCTTAATTTTGCCCAACAGACAAAACATTTTAAATCACTATCTAGTAAACTAACGAGCCAGTGCAAAAAATAAACTTCCTATGAATACAAAGAAACTATAATGAAAGGTTTTACAAGCTAGAAGGATCTGTTACATAAACATATCTTCTGTATCCTAAGCCAAAACAAATTTCACGAGAATGGTGCACTCTGATGTGAACTGCTTTTAAGAATGGTTTTTGACCCAATTAATATGTTTAAACACTTTCTATTGGGGATGTTTCTATGAAAATAACGGTCAGCGAAAGATGAAGTAAAACAAACTGACATTATTTACTCTGTTATTAATCTTCAGCCACTGTTGCGATTATGACTCCTCAGCTTAGCTGCCACACTCCAAGTAGCTCCTTGAGTGACTTTTACACTGATGTCAATGTAAAGTGAGCAAAACTGTTTCTGGTTCTATTTGTTTCCAATACTTAGCCCTGGTCTACACTTCAAACTTATGGCAATGTAACTATGTCGCTCAGGGGTGTGGAAAATCCACGCCCCCGAGAAACGTAGTTATACCTACTTAACCCCCGATGTAGACAGCATTATGTTGACAGGAGGGCTTCTTCTGGCAACATAGCTTCTACTTCTCAGGGAGGTGGAGTACCTATGCTGATGGGAAAAGCTCTCCTGTTGGCATAAAACCTCTTCACAAAGCACTACAGTGGCACAGCTGCACCATTGCAGTACCATAAGTGTAGACAAGCCCTTAGTCAATGCTTTCATCTTAAGACCTTAAGGTGCTTTCACCTACAAGTGAAGTAGGTCAGCATCATTCCCATTTTAGAGCTAGGTAAACTGAGGCACAAAGTGATTATTTTCTCATACCTGAAAATGGAATCCTGAAGCCCAGACTCCTGGTTTGTGCATTAGCCACAAGACCATCCCATTTGTCACTGCAATCTTTCCTCCCTTTCCCTCTTTCCAACCTAGTCTCTTCACCAGTCTCCACACCTCAGTGCCTTCTCTGGTCCTGTCCCCTTCACACTGTGGTTGCTTCCTGGGATGGAAGATGCTACTACTCAGGGTTGTAAACTATAGTGCTGAATGCCTACCCTTCCCCACTGTTTCTACACTGAGAGGCAAAGTAAGGTGAGAATGCAGTTGAGGGGACAAGACCCAATGGAAGCCACAGGCAGGGCTGTGGGTGGAGAAGTTTGAGGAGAATTGCATGCATGAGTGAATGACAGCAGGGGAAAATGTGTGACTACCACTTCAGATAAATAACATTTGCCAATGTAGTCAGTTCCTTTAACCTATACAGCATCCTTAAAAATAATGCTTGAAAAAAAGAATATGGAACTGGATAGCACTAAAAAGAAGCTAAAAGTCTCAACACTGCATGCCCTACAGTGAAAAATTGGTAACAAGTACTGTGGGTGCAGTACCACAAAGACAGGATCATCCACAGAAAACAGGGCAGGAAATGCAAGTTTTAGCGCCAAAAAAAGTGTCAGTGAAATTTACATCAACACATAATAACTAAAAAACATTTACAAGGAAGACTAAGTGCCCCACAAACACAACACAAATATCCCATTAGAATACACAAAAATAGCTTTGCTGCCTTTGACTAGTCTCACCTACCATGACAAAACAACTAGCTGTATCAACTAATGACTAGCTTCCTAGATCATATTCTTCAACTCCACCTAGATCAATTATCTTATAATTTTTTACCACTTTCCCACCCAAGAACTCTCCAGTACTGCTCCAGGCATTTCCTCCTTCCAGAAGTGTTTTCAGTAAGTCTTTCTGGTTTCTTACTATATTACTTTATAACAGGGGTGGGCAAACTATGGCCCATGGGCCGCATCCGGCCCACCAGCCGTTTGAATCTGGGCCTCGAGCTCCTGCTGGGGAGCTGGGTCTGCGGCTTGCCCCGCTCTGTTGCTCCAGCCGGGGAGCAGTGTAGGGACCGGTCCACTCGACTCCCGGAAGCAGCGGCACGTCCCTCCTCCGGCTCCTACACTTGCTGTCCCTGCCCCAAGCATCGCCCCCACTGCTCCCATTTGCCGGGAACCGCAGCCAATGGGAGCTGCAGGGGTGGTGCCTATGGACGGGGCAGCGCACAGCAGAGCCGCCTGGCTTCCCCTACGCGTAGGAGCTGGAGGAGGGACATGCTGCTGCTTCCAGGAGCTGCCTGAGGTAAGCGCCACCCAGAGCCTGCACACCTGAGCCACCCCACATGCCCCAGCCCTGATCCCCCTCCCACCCTCTGAGCCCCCTGATCCCAGCCTGGAGCACCCTCCTGTACTCCAAACCCCTCATCCTCAGCCCCACCCCAGAGCCTGCACCCCTAGCCAAAGCCCTCACACACCCCAACCCCAATTTCATGAGCGTTCATGGCCCGCCATACAATTTCTATACCCAGATGTGGCCCTCGGGCCAAAAAGTTTGCTCACCCGCTTTATATTTTTTGTAGCAATCATGAGTTCAAAATTACTTCACACGATTTTAAACCGTACAGCAGGGCCTAGTCCAGCAAAGATGTAAGCACCTGATGAACTTTACATGCTACTGGTGGTCCCTCTGAAGTCAAAAGGAATTCCTCACAGTGTGCAGTTACATGCAGCTTTTTCAGGATCATGTCCTTGGTCTCTATCTCTCAGAAGAATTTCTGAGCCTTTTCCAGCAGCCATATCACATCAAAGAAATCTGTTGACAGCCTCAGGTGTGCGCACCAGCACCAATAAATTGAGACTAAGAGTCCTGAGGAACAGTGATTAATGACCACTATGCAACAAAGTGACTAAACACAAGATATTAAGATTGTGACTATCCTAAGTGGAATGTGTCTGTTGCTCAATCTGTTTTCTTAGAAAAGCCTAGTTAATCAGGCAAGAGCAATTATTTGTTAGAGGTTATTTTTAAATAAAATGACATGAAGAAATTAAAATACTATATATAGCCCTAATGTAAAATGTGGTAACACTGCAATTTATATTCACTAAATAGACATCTAGTCTGAAAGTTGTTGAGTTTTTTTTTAAAATGGATTTAATGTGCTTTTTTCTTAATAGCCAAGTAAACGGTCTGAAATTAATGTAAGGCCAAACCCTTTTTCTCAGCTACTAACTCTCTTCTACGCTAAATGGGGCCTAAAAAATTAAGTGGAGATAAGCAAATTGATGTTTGTCTTCTGAGGTCATATCACAATTTTTTTATTTCAGTCTTTTTTTTTAATAATAGTAGATATAACTATTACTCATTTTTGGCCACTTTTTTTCTCTCATACCACAAGATTAAAGCCCTCATACAAGAGTATTTAAAATTGAAGTGTAGGCAATTTACATAATCAACACTAACACAAATTACTTAGACTTTAAATATTTTATATCAGTGGGAACTAGTGTTCCCATTTAATCTTTATTTTTATTAAAAATAATTTCCAATCAATAGTCATGTTTTAATCAGTTTTAGGCATGATTTCATGTATCCCTTAAGTTTTTCCTTTTAATGAATTAGATTGCCAGTCCAAACAAGTCTGGGTTTTTAATCCTACTTTGTTTCTTTTTATGCATATCGATTTAGATTAGAAGTCTCAGTTTTTGCCAACACTTCCAGACGTTCTGGAGGTTATACTGGTACACGGTTACATCATTATTGTTCGTTGTCTGGATTTCTTATACATTTTACAGTACAGCAGCATTCAACATATTCCAAAATCATTTCTACAAAAAAAAAAAAGTAATATACCATTTAGAGAACCTGCAAGCTAAATTCCATTGATGTGCTCCTAGTCAAAGTGATTTAAATCATTGCAGCAATTTCTCAATAATCTAGGCCCTATCGAAATGAGGAAAATAGGGTGTGATTTACCACATTGGCTAACAGATTTTACCTAATGTGCTTTTATTATATACAGAGTGTAAAGCCTTCAAAAATATGCTACTTGCTCCTGGTCAACCCTAGGCTCCCTCTTGAACTGTGACATGTTTTTAAAACCCAGCCTATTTTCCTAGTCTAGACCTGCCTCCTAGACTAGTAGACTACTACCTCCTGCAAATTTGAGTGATGAACTCAATTTTCCTTTCTGTATCAAGCAGTAAGAAAGTATTGGATCACAAAAGCATTTCCTTTCATGTAGCACGGTTGCAATTAAATCTGCACGACTCCCACAAGTACTTTTGCAGAGAGCTGGAGAGAACAAAGATGACAATAAATGTGCCCACTAGGGCACCTGGGAAGGGGACTGTACTTGTTTCTAGGTCTTCTTGTTTCTGATACATCATTAGCAACAACTAGTACAAAGAAATGCCAGGTTAACAGGCACGGATGGAAGCTTCCCTGACATAGAGCTTCAATTCAGTTCAAAGCTTTAGCATGCAATGTGGTGGTTTTGCTGGGCACAGATACTTGTGAGAACACACACAGCCTTGGGACTAATGGCTGACCAGAAAGAGCAGGTCTTACGCATTATATCGGAGCGTTAGACCTGTTGTACAGAAAGAAAGGAGAGCCTCAGGACTCAAAGTACCACATGACTGTGTGTTTAAGAACAACCTATACCAAGTCTGTCCTCAGTGAAAAGTACCACAGCAATTACTCAGATTTCATGACTGCAAATGTGTCAGGATAAAAAACTTTGTTGCCTTTGTAGGGAACATATTCAGACCTACTTTCTGTTAGCATAAATATTCTACATTGCAATATTCAAGTTTCAAGATCATACTTAAGTGGAGGAAGGCTTTTAAAAATAAAAGTACCCTCAAGAAAAAACATTACCTATTAGTAGAAGAACTGCAACATATCCCTACGCTAATTACAATTACTTCCTATTGTATTACTTCTGCTTATTAATAATATTCTCATCTTTTTTTGGAATTATGGGAAGTATTGTTAAAAGCAACCAAATTCTTATATTTGCTCTGCCCTATAATGAGACAAAAATGAACAAAATGAAAATAACAGCAGGAAACTTAGAACAAAAGAAATTACTATACATAGTAAGCTTATGCAAATCAACATTACTGGTGGTCAATAAAAATACTTTAGCAGGATTCTTTTGTTTAAAAGGAGGTTAGCTTTATAAGCATTTCCAGCTATGGCATGCAAGCTAAGAATCATATGAGTAGTCAAACCTTGTGCTTTAAGGTGTAAGCTGATCACTGGTGAGGGTCAGAAAGGAATTCTCATGGTCAGAAACCCAAGTAACACCACTGCATGATTGGCCAGATTTAACATCCAAGTATTTTACCTTTTTCTGAAGTATCTGGTACTGGCCATAGTTAGAGATAGGATATCAAGCACATGCTCCCAACCCTGCAAGCTGTCGCATGTGTGCATCAGCAGACATATGCAGAACAGCTTGCAGGATCCAGGGCCTCAGAGTTTCCTCGGTCTGATCTGGTATAAAAAGTTCTATATTAAATCATACACCCAGTTAGGGGGAAAAAGCAACTACAAAAAAAGCTTTTTTCTAATATAGATTCAGATAAGTTTTCCAACCGAAAATAAAAATCAGTAATTGTTAATATTCCGCAATGTTTTGATGGTTAAAATTTTGAAAGCGTCTCCCCCCCTTGATAGGGAATATCAATACAGATGATTCCACTTTATTATATTTTTCTGTTTTTTTTTTTTCTATTAAGCGGTCTTCCATTCACCCTTACTCACCAGGAGATTCTCCTGTCAGGTCTGGGGCCTGCGCTGAATCTAATGAAGAAACCACGCTGACAGCATTTGTGGGTACACTCATGGTAGCTGTAGAAGGGGAAATTGTTGATTTCTTTGGAGCTACGACGACACTCCTACATGGAGAAATACATAAAGATAGTAAATCATTCTCTTTAAAAAAAAAAGTGTTTACATACAGTGGTCCTTCTTTGAAAGGCAAGAAATACAATACATACAGAATTCTGTTTTCTGCAAACCATGTTAGCTATCAAGTTCAACACTTCCTTCCACATTCTCTTTAGTCACCTCTTTTGCCAGCCTATCTAAAGATACGCACTGACACTTTATCCATGTTCTCCCTCTCTTCCTTCCAATTGTTTATAGCAAGGCTTTAACGTTCATTTCAATCTCCTAGAAACATGGTCAGCTAAAACTGTATGGATATATACAACTACTAGGGTGGGTTACTTTGAGATCTATCCCAGTTCCAGTAAAAGCAGTTTTTGCCTTTGGTATTACTCATATTGAGTACTGCTTTAAGAGCAACACCATGCTTTAATGATCTAACATAGCTGAACACAAAGGTAGAAAGGGGCTGGGATGTCAGTATACAGTACTCAAAATGAAAGATACTGAGATCTGACAATATCCACCTTGAAAACTGTCTAGATGTGATAGTGTCCTTTAATTCTGTTTTACAATACTGGAAGACTTCTCAATGGAGAAATCTATAGTATAAAAATAACTAAACCCATCCTGAAATGCTAATATATAGTACAAACATTAATGTCTTCATTACATTTCAAATGCATCTTATATGGAAATAAATCTATGGAGATATCTGAACTTAAAGATATACTTATTAAAACAAATCAGAAGATTCTTAGACCTGAAGACAGTGTCACCAGTCTTTACATAAGCTAAATTTCAGGCATTACATTCAACAATAAACATAAAAGAAGAAGAAAACATGTAAAATGTCAAGTTAGGCATGGAGATTTATCTTGTACGTTACCAAGCAATCTATTTATGATCCACCAATTTCAATTAAATTGTAATACTTTATTCCAAATACCTAAAAGACCTTGTTAAGCATACGTTTAAGGCATTTTTAATTGCAAGTTAGCTCCATAGACATGCAAAAACCCAACTAATGAGGTAAAGAGTGCAGCTGATATATAATGCACTCCCACAGCAGCGCTTACTTTTAATTACCTGGTGTTAACTGTAAGTTGAAAGTCTTCAACATTCAATTTATTTAATCACATCTTATGTTGACAGTACTATAACTACACACTGAAATTATTCCCTTAATAACTTTAAAGAATTCAGTTTCTAAATAAAGTTACTTAGAAACTTGAACCAAATTCAGGCATGGAAACAAGAGGTTTTTGTTAAATACTTGAAAAATAATTTTAATTAGAAGGGGAAAATGGATCACAGTTGTCTTTCTTCTTCACTCCAATGAACGTCACATAAACTAGGCTGTTACACTGATTAAATCAACCTTCCTATTGCTAGGAGTAGGCAGCCACTATACTTGGGGATAGTGTGTGTCACATCATTATAAGGTTGACTGCTAATGTTAACTATACACTAAAAAACAGACGTAACAACCACCTGAGCCCCAAGCCAAGACATTGTGCTTGAGCCATGAATTTCTATCATATGTACATGTTGGTTTCCAGCAAATATGTACATTGTATTAGAAAAATAGTTTATATAAATATATACACTGTCTGCTAAATTACACATACATTGCCATTAATATACAATGGGGCCTTGCATTTCCTCATGCCTTACATTACAGAGCATAAAACAGATGATCTCCCTCTAGACATGCAATACCAAGACACTATTAATTGCTCTTCTTTAGGACAAGTTCAAAAAACAGGAAGGAGGTGGGGGGGGAGAATATATATTTACTGGGTTTTAGTAACATGGGCATACTATTAACATTAGGATGGGCCTCCAGCATCTGACCCACACTAGTAAATTTGATGTGTATTTCCTTGCTGGATTTAAATTGTTTTATTGTCAAAATACTCAATAAAAACATTTAACTAGGGTCCAGAGATCTACATTTCATGAATGCAGATGTATTCACATAGTCTGTATCAGACCTTAATGTAAAACATGGAGACATTTGTTTCCTTACCCCCAAAAGAGTTACAGTAGCATTTTATCAAGCGCCTACCAACAAACACAAAATGCATTACAAGAAAACTGGAATGGATCCTAATATAAATGCAGGAAAATAGTTTGGTGATAAAATTCTGGAACCACTAAAATTTTTGACAAGGTTGTTATTGTGTTTGCATAATAGCTTGTTGTTGAATAGCTCTCTCTCCTACATCAATGCAATTATTTTAATACTGGAAGGTATCAAAATTAACTTAAGAACAAAACGTGCTACATTTTCTTTTTTCATTTATGTTTTCAGAATTTTTCTATATCAGTCAGTTCTCAGGAATCATCAAAACAAGAGGCCCTCCACCTTTTACTCCTGGGGGAATTCTGTGCCAAAAGATAAAAAATTCTGTGCACAATATTTTAAAATTCCATAAAATTCTGCAAATTTGTCAAAACAACACTATATAATCACAGCAGTTTCAATTATTTTGGTAACTCATTTCAAAATACCTGTCAGCAAGTATGTCTGTAATAATACAGAGACACAAAAATTCCCACAGTAGTAGAGTTAAAGAAACCCCCACGACAACCCAGTTCCTGTTTCTCTGCCCCTTTCCCCCGCCCGAGCGCACCCAGGCAGCCAGATACCCACACCTCCTCCCCACCAGAGCCCAGCCATGCTCCCCTAGCCCAGACACTCACACCTGCTACCCTTCAGAGGCCAGCTGCAGGCCCCCTCTCCCCCCCGGCCCAAACATTCTCACACTCTACCCCTCCAGAGCCCAGCCACATCCCCCCCAGCTGAGACACTCACATCCCCTATCCCCCCTCCCACTGAGACCAGGGATCCGGAGTGATAAACAGCCTGACACTGGGTCCTGGGTTTCCACAGAGTTTCCCGCATGCCACCACCTTCTTCCTTCAGGGCGTGTGGGGGACTGTAGCTGCCAGGAACACTAAGATCCCTTCCCTCCCCCAGGCCTTGTCTTCTATTTGCAAGCTGGACTCTGCCGGGTCCAGCAGCCCCTAGTGACAGCCAACATCTCTGCAGCCTTTTCTGTGGGGGGGGAAAAAGGAAATTCTGTGTGCACAACATTAATTTCTACACAATTCTGCATTGCACAGTGGCACAGAATTCCCCCAGTAGTAACATTTAAGAGGGCTATGAAAATTACACTGATAGGCCCCTAGCAATTATGAAGCCACTGTGGCTTCTAAATCTGTCGGGTAGGGAAAGCCCTGGATTCTCTGAAAGTATTACACATAAATGGTTGATCAGAATCTTTTAATTTTAGAATTTCCTTCTCTAGCTTAAGAACAACAAGGAGTCTGGTGTATCCACTAAGTTTTGAGATCGAAGGAATTTTGGAAGACTTCATAAACCTTCTGTAATAATTGTCTATAAGAAATGTGCTCATTAGGGTTGCCAGGTGCCCAGTTTTCAACCATAAAGTCCAGTCGAAAAAGGGACCTGACTGTGTCCGGTCAAATGTACTGACCAGACATCAAAAGTCTTAGTTACTGTGGGCAGGAAGAGAAGGGCTGCCTCCTACCTGCATCTCTTGGGCAGGCAGGCAGGCTCCATGTCAAGCTACAGCTCCAGAGCAGAGGAAGCCCAGCGGGCGGGGCAGGGAGGTGGAGAAGATCCAGCTACGAAGATGAGGGAGGGCAGTGAGCAGTACGGGGAGGGTGGAAGAGGAGCGAATGGGGGGCAGAGCTTCGGGGAAGAGGCAGGGTAGGGGCAGGGCAAGGGCAAGGCAGTGGGGGTCAGTTGTCAGCAATTAGAAAGTTGGCAACCCTAGTGCTGATATGAGTGTCAGCACCAGAATTGGACACTATTCACTGCACAAAACTATGATCATGCCAAGTTAAGGTTGACCAACAGTGATAAATACCCTTCCATCAAATCCACCTATACTTAAACCTCTGAAAACCAAGGGGGGAAAATGTGAAGATTTCTCCAAAACCTCACCCTACAACCTCAATTCTCCCAACCTAGAACTGGCAGTAAGCACTGGGACAAAACCAGGCATGACCAATCAGAAATACAAGCTGCCATTTTCTGTGTTGTGTCTAACACAATGTTACACCATAGTTCTTCGTATCCTGATACTAACACTGCTACTACTGTGCTAAGTGTAGCTGAACTTATCAAGGGATTAGTTACACCAAGTTTCCAGAGCTTGCACTGCCATTTGAGGAGAGGTGCAGCTACAGCTAAAGCAATCTGGGATCCCTTTTTTCCCTGCGTTGTAATATACAGCAGTTCAAAGCAGATGATCAAAATGGGCCCTCTGGCCACTAAAATCATCTGTAGAGAGTATTAGGACAACTATAACAGTTGTTATTCACATTCACGAGGTATATGAAGATAGTGGGATATACACACATCATCCCTAATGTTTTCTTACACATTCTCAGAGCTCAGCAGATAGCAAAGGAAACAATGAGTAACTGCACCACAAATCTGACTAACACACACACACACACACACACAATTACCATTAGGTATCTTCACAGGCTTTTTTGAATTACAATCTCATTATTCCTTATTAAAATGGAAACTTGCAACTGAAAACAGAGAAGAAAATTAAGCTTTAACTAACCATGGGATAATGGCTCAGCACCATAAGTGATCTACTTGAATTCGAGTGGTAAGAAGCAGAGTCATTAAACATCCCAAAGTTGAGTGTACAGAAGAGCCTATGTTGCAGTTCAGTAAGAGGATTTATATATATCCATCCTGGAGGATGTTAGAAAAACTGCCTCTCAGGGTTGTTCAAAAATTTTCCATAAAAGTTATTTCAATAAATTGTTTTTCATAAGACCTATCTGCTTTCCACAGAAATTTTTGAATTTTTGTCAAAATAAACCCCAAATATCTGAAACAGGAAAATGTTTCAGTTAAAGCAAAACAATTCAATTTAGAAGCATGTTGGTGTCTCATGGAAGTCATATTTTGAGTGTCCCCATTCTCCTCTATAAATCCGGTTCTCCAGCA